CATTAAAGATCGCACTGTTAGTAGTTTTATCAAATGTGTAAGTAGAAGGCCACTTACCATTGCCTTCATGCATTGTTCCTGATTACGTTCTTAGTATATAGAGGCATAGTATGTCTGCTTAATGGTTCTCATGAGAAAAATAATCAGTTGATGTAAATGGATAAAAAAATAATTTATTAAGTAAAGATACATTCAAATCAAATGTGCATTTCTCCGCAACACATGAAAATACATAAAGCAGGTTCAAGTAGTGCACATAAAAATTGCCTTTTTTCCATTGAGTAAAATGGTGCATCCAGCAACACCAGTAATTTGACGTCTTAAGATTATATAATTTGACTCAACAAGAAAAAAAATTTAATGCCAACTGTTAGAATGTTCCAATTTTTTTTAGTTTTCTGCAAAGACCAATAGAGTATTCCATTCTCCGACCTCTTAATCTTGGTTAAACCTATTGCCTTGCAGTATATACAGCAATCAGTGCCCTTATCAGTGTGGTAGATTGAATTCTGTTAGATGAATCTTCTTTGAAAGATTTTTGAAATGCATTATAGCAGCTTGGTAGTTCCCGGAGATTTGTTGACAGATTCCAAGAATCTGCCATGAGATATCTCTACTCTCTTTATGTATCGTTTGCCCTTGGTGGACTAGAAAATGTAGATCATCTAAAGCTCTTCGAGAACTCAGAGTGTCCGTGTGTCTGTAGCATAAGAACTCTAACATGCAAAAAATTACTAAAGATGGGATACTTAAATACAGCGTTTTGTTTGGCATACTGTACAATTGTTCAATTCTTAATTCATTTAAATATGCAATATCAACGTAATAACGAAAGTCCGGGATTCTAAATTTTCTTATTTTTTCAGGCCATGAAAGACCCCCCGCGGCTTCAGCATATAACTTTGTATATATATCAGAATTAAGCATTAAATGGGGTGTAGATACCTCGGCATTTACCATCTTTAAAAGAGATGAAGCTTTGCCATATCTACATGTTTTGTAATAATACATTACAACATAGAGAATGTCAAAAACAGATCCGAACTTTGCCCCAAATTTGAGCACGTGAAGAAATGTTTTGTCAACAATGTACATTATTTTATTCATTTTTCTATTTAAATTTGACCTTGAATTTTGTAAATAAAAATCACTACATTTGCTTTTTAATATAAAAGTGATTTCTTGAAGAAAAGTTACTAATACTCTTTGTAACACAATAACTTGAAACTGGTTCAAGGGTATAAACATATGAGATGCCCAATTGTGTTTACCGCTTTTATACAGTAGGACAGATTAGGTAATTCAATAGCAATGTACATGTGCCACCACACATTATCTAACACCTCCGTCTCCAGTGTATTAGACAAGACAAGAGTATTTTTATCTCTATTAATCGAAGAAAAGTTCTGAGTATATGACTTTATGGTGGAACTTTCTAACAGGCATGATAAACCCTTACAATATAAACCATAAAGTCTAGAAAACAAAATTCTTTTGATTTGCACCGAAGATTTTTCCTAGAAACATGTTATTTTCAGGAATGAAGAAGTTGGGACAGTAACCGTCGTACACCCATTTCAGGATTAGTTTAAAACAAACCCAAAAACCCTCGAGAATGCATCCTGGAAGTACATCGCTCTGAATAATCCAAAACACGGCAGTCTTCACATGATATGAACTCAATAACTTATTTTCATCTGACGTATTATTAATGACCTCTCTCATGAAAAGCTTTAACAAACCATAAATCAAGAATTGGTTATGATCCATTGAGCGAACAAGTCTTTGTTCTGCCACAGAGAAAGAAATTCTCCATTCATTGTCCCTGTGATTTCCCTGTTTATGTCCTATTGTAACAAAGTGACAACCATCTTCGACTATATCATTTACAATGTTAGATAATGGCCAAACCTGACACCTTTTTATCCATGAATATGCAACTGGAGGCCAAAAGTCACTCACAAAACTATGCGCAGCGTCATATTCTATCTCTCCACAAGGTCCACTTACACAAGGACCGTTTACTTTTGATACAATTCCAACTATTGGGCGTTTCATTTCAATGTAGAGAGAACTTGATATATAGATTTTGTCATTCATTCTGAAGCAGGATTTATGGAGCATGCCATCAGTTCCACCAGTTCTCTGTGTTAACAATTGAAGTAAAGAGAATCCAGGTGGACTATCAGAACAGTCAGCAAGAATAAGTGTAAATTTAAATGATTTGTAATTCTGTGCTTCAGATAAATTCCAGATTACTCGCTGATGTTTTAACCAGACCATGAAGTCTCTATCCGATACGTCCATTCTGAAACCTTCTCTGTAACTCCCTCCGTCTATACAAACATAGCTTTTGTTCAATTGATTATAAAACTTCACGATAATATCCATGATATCTCGCCCCATATTGACAATGGATGATGTCCCAACTGTACCAAGTAGTCCCTCAAACACACATTCTGACATCCTACTGTTGATCGATAAGAATTTTCATAAGAAACGGAATTTCTTTTTTAAAAATATGAAATATTTCATATATTGTATGATTAAATTAAAAAGAAAGTCGGTGTTTGATATGAATAGGTTGTTACTTACACAGGCTCCATCTTGTTTATTTGTCTTCTGCCCTCAAACACACATTCTGACATATTTCGTGTTTTTATCCTACTGTTGAGCTATAAGAATTTCATTAAAAAGTATTAAAAATGAAATATTTCAATTATTGGATGATTAAATTAAAACGTAAGTCGACAGGTGTTTGATATATTTAGGTTGTTACTTATGTGGTAGTATCGGTCCTTTATGAATTATTGCCATTACATCATTTATTTAACATAAAGTTAACTTACTTCTTTACGTAATTTCTTTATCTTCGTATTCGATTTGTTTATTCATGAAACCGGAAGAGAGTTATCTTTTATTTCCAAACGCATTTTATTTCGAGACTTTTCATTGGTTACTTCTAAATTTATTATCAAATCACATTACGGCTGACTTTTACTTTCATTCTATTGTTAAGAACAGTATTTAAACCCGAGCACCGCCGTGCTCTGGGCTTCTACTGAGCCAAGCCTTGTATCAAGGTAATTATCAGGAGTTGCCTCACCCTATTTTCCCTACTAAATTTCGATTAATAATTCTTTATTTTTCTAACTTAGTTCTTTATATTTTTTCATTTAGTTATTTTTCTTGAAAGCCACATTCATTCCCCGGGAATATTTATTTGTTGTTTGGTATTTTTCCATATACAATTGTTAAACTTTATTAAAGATTTAAAACTTTATTATCTATTATTTACGGACAAGCCTCACTACAGGCGGACTCAAACTTACCTGGAAAGAAAATATAAAAGGTTTATCAAAAGGTTGAAATATTATTGAAGGGAACATCTATATAAAATAAAACACAACGCGAAGTACAAAACTTTTACATCAGTAGTGGCTGAATGCCCAACTACTACACTTACATGGGTTCCATCTTGTTTATTTGTCTCCTATATCATGTATTTCCCTGTGGGAAATTCCCTCTCTATTTTGTAAAATAGAATAACGTGTTTCTAAAGGAATAGTTTGCTTTGTTGTTTAAGTCATAGGTGTTTGGTTTCAGGATTGTGTATTTTGTGTATTACGAAGGCCGTTCAAAAATTACACGGACTGTGCTATTATTTACGACAATTTTCTCAAATGTATCTTTAAATTGTTCTATTATTATGCATTTAGATTTCTTACGTGATATTTGAAGTACTAACAGAAATAAAGTGATTTTTCTCTGATGCGATTCCCGTGAAAACGACTGTGAAAATGACGTCTCCTGAATTGACGGCGCACCACACTTTTGTTAAATTATGTGTAATGCTCGAGATATCGCCAACATAGATCCAAATTATGCATAAGAAAACATGTAGTAAACTATGGTATTCGTGACATTCGTCCACAAAAAGCAAATTGAAATTTTAGACCGTTAGACCTCTGAAAAAAGGCTATACGGGAGGACGGGAAGATTATCGATGAAAAATTTATCCGGACTGTAAAGAACGTGATTGAGAGTTAGCAATATCACACTATATCTCATAAATACCTGCAGTTTTTGCTTTTAAAAGAAAAAAGGAATATTCTTTACTTGTTTATTAGGTTTTAAGCTTGACAAGAAATGGTGTTTGGATGTTGAGTAGATAAGGTAACTCAAACTGTACAGGTACTCTTGGGAAAATGTTGAGAAAATGAAAGCTCAATAACATATTTTTTATAATGCCTCTGACGTCGAAGATTTTGCTGCTCCGTGACTTAATGATATGTCCTGAAAAAACACTTAAAATTGATATCAGTTTACAACATTTTGACATGAAATGTTGAAGATCGTATAAATAAAGATTCATTTAATATTATTATGTGTGACATTTTACCCGATTATGTCGTCAAATATTTTTTCTGTGCAACAAGTCCGCGTAATTTTTGAACGACCCTCGTATTAGTTTTTCTAAGTGTTTCTGAATACATGTCACTAAAATAAAAAAAAATCGATGAAAATAGCACGTTTTAAAAGATCATATTACTGTATTTAAAAAAATATATATATTTCTTACAGAGGTTTATTGTTGTGTGCTATTTTCCGTCACACGTACGTAACACAATTATATGGAACGCCAAAATAACAAATATTCAAACATTTAAACCAAATGAATTGAAGATTAGCACAATTAAATTAAAGACAGGTATTGGATAATGAATTAAAGATAGGTGTAAATAAATATGTATCTTAATAATTAAACCTAGGTTCAAATAAATTACACCTATCTTTAATGGAATTATACCTATCTTCAATTCAATTTAATAATACTTATCTTACAATTGATTTAAAGATAGGTACAATTGATTTGAAATTATGTACAATTAAAACATATTCACAAAAGAATTAAATATATAATATAGGTACAAATCAATGTGCCTAGATATGTTCCTATGTTACTCTGCTGATTCAGATTATGAGACTTTTTTGTTTCTCATTTATCTCCTCTTGATGGGGCTCTTGTCTATAACTATAAGTACATGTACATGTAGCTATTGACAAGTTGTAGCGTGCTTTTTAAAGGGCTGTCCCTTTTTTGCAAATTATATTAGTCATATCTGTATTTTTTCATTATGTATATTTATATATATTCTTATAAGGGATATATTCAAATATGGGTATGTCGAACTGTGTACGTATATGTGTTTAATTTGTTCAGTACTAACGACACTTAGTTTTATTTTATACTTTAAAAAAGACCAGAGTAAACTAATTAATCATTATATAGAGCTTTTATCAAATGAGACAAATTATGCTGTACATGTTAGCATAGATCAAGTCTACATTTTGGGGTATCTTACAGCCAGGTGAAATCAGTTCGGCAGATTAAGTTTTTACACAAAATATTTTTACTTTTCACATTATTTCAAGATCGATTGCACTTTTGTGCAATACTAAATTAACCTTTTCATACTGTCTTTCTTACATATCTTCTATTTATCAATAAAGATATGCATGGAAGAAATGCATATTTTTATTGATAAATAGAAAAAAAGTCGCAAAGACAATACCGTGACGCATTTTAGAAATGGACTCTAATAAAATAAGATAAAAATCGGCTGAGGGTAATCCGTTGTTTGGGGGTATACAGTCATGTATAAATTTTCCTTGAAAATGACTAAAGAGTAAATTTTTATTCAATCCAGGACCAAGTGCCATTAAAGATCGCACTGTTAGTAGTTTTATCAAATGTGTAAGTAGAAGGCCACTTACCATTGCCTTCATGCATTGTTCCTGATTGATAAATAGAAATGATATGAACTCAATAACTTATTTTCATCTGACGTATTATTAATGACCTCTCTCATGAAAAGCTTTAACAAACCATAAATCAAGAATTGGTTATGATCCATTGAGCGAACAAGTCTTTGTTCTGCCACAGAGAAAGAAATTCTCCATTCATTGTCCCTGTGATTTCCCTGTTTATGTCCTATTGTAACAAAGTGACAACCATCTTCGACTATATCATTTACAATGTTAGATAATGGCCAAACCTGACACCTTTTTATCCATGAATATGCAACTGGAGGCCAAAAGTCACTCACAAAACTATGCGCAGCGTCATATTCTATCTCTCCACAAGGTCCACTTACACAAGGACCGTTTACTTTTGATACAATTCCAACTATTGGGCGTTTCATTTCAATGTAGAGAGAACTTGATATATAGATTTTGTCATTCATTCTGAAGCAGGATTTATGGAGCATGCCATCAGTTCCACCAGTTCTCTGTGTTAACAATTGAAGTAAAGAGAATCCAGGTGGACTATCAGAACAGTCAGCAAGAATAAGTGTAAATTTAAATGATTTGTAATTCTGTGCTTCAGATAAATTCCAGATTACTCGCTGATGTTTTAACCAGACCATGAAGTCTCTATCCGATACGTCCATTCTGAAACCTTCTCTGTAACTCCCTCCGTCTATACAAACATAGCTTTTGTTCAATTGATTATAAAACTTCACGATAATATCCATGATATCTCGCCCCATATTGACAATGGATGATGTCCCAACTGTACCAAGTAGTCCCTCAAACACACATTCTGACATCCTACTGTTGATCGATAAGAATTTTCATAAGAAACGGAATTTCTTTTTTAAAAATATGAAATATTTCATATATTGTATGATTAAATTAAAAAGAAAGTCGGTGTTTGATATGAATAGGTTGTTACTTACACAGGCTCCATCTTGTTTATTTGTCTTCTGCCCTCAAACACACATTCTGACATATTTCGTGTTTTTATCCTACTGTTGAGCTATAAGAATTTCATTAAAAAGTATTAAAAATGAAATATTTCAATTATTGGATGATTAAATTAAAACGTAAGTCGACAGGTGTTTGATATATTTAGGTTGTTACTTATGTGGTAGTATCGGTCCTTTATGAATTATTGCCATTACATCATTTATTTAACATAAAGTTAACTTACTTCTTTACGTAAATTCTTTATCTTCGTATTCGATTTGTTTATTCATGAAACCGGAAGAGAGTTATCTTTTATTTCCAAACGCATTTTATTTCGAGACTTTTCATTGGTTACTTCTAAATTTATTATCAAATCACATTACGGCTGACTTTTACTTTCATTCTATTGTTAAGAACAGTATTTAAACCCGAGCACCGCCGTGCTCTGGGCTTCTACTGAGCCAAGCCTTGTATCAAGGTAATTATCAGGAGTTGCCTCACCCTATTTTCCCTACTAAATTTCGATTAATAATTCTTTATTTTTCTAACTTAGTTCTTTATATTTTTTCATTTAGTTATTTTTCTCGAAAGCCACATTCATTCCCCGGGAATATTTATTTGTTGTTTGGTATTTTTCCATATACAATTGTTAAACTTTATTAAAGATTTAAAACTTTATTATCTATTATTTACGGACAAGCCTCACTACAGGC